TTTTTTTTTTTTACTGGAGGATATTTCTGTAGTTTTTGAAAAGGAAAATTTTTTGAAACAGGCAGAGATTTGTTTTTGTTCCAAGCTGAAATTCAAATTTGAAGTGATTGCAGTTAATTGTATTAGTATACAGCTTCTTCCCTCGCAAGTTTGGTCCAAATTTTAAAATAAATTCAAACCAAACTTTATCTTACATTGTACGCTCCAAACTAAACGTCTCTTTCCTTCCATTAATTGCTCACCGTATGGGACCACAGCGGGAAACCCAATTTCAAAATTAATTAATTAATTATTTGGTCATTTTTAATTGTAGAGTCAGTCTTCCATAATAAAATCATTTATATGTCTACCATAATTTTACTCGACACCTCATATTTGTTTGGTAAAAATTAATATAAACAATTAATATCAGCTACATATTTCAATTACACATTTCATTACAATTTATCTAATTTATAATTTTTCAATTACGCATTTCATTAATTTCTAAAGTTAAATCTCCGACATATCGTTCGTGAATTGTAACCCCTGTTTGGTGGGGAGTAAAATCAGATTTTTAGTGAATTTTAATAAAAGTCGATGAAATATAGAGCTAGTTTGGGATGGATTAAAATAGAAAAATTAGCCGTTATTGTTAATTTTTATTAGACGGGTGGGACCCAATAACTACTATATTTTCAATTTTAATTGGATTAAAATCCTTCGCAAACAAGCTCATATGGTTGAAAGCTGTGAGTGTCATGAACAATGCGGTTAAAATTAATTATTGGTTTTGATGAAAATATGTGAATTTTGATTTTTTTTTTAATGTGCAAAATTAATGAGTTAATGTGAATGTGAGCGACAATCCTCATAAGTCATCCCCTAATAATGCTGGCTGGCGGCAAAACATTTTGTTTAATTTCAATAATATCCCAATTTAGGGTTCATTCTCCCGCAAGCTTTCTTCCCAAATTTCAAATCCCGCGCTCATATTTCTCATTCAAATTCCATTTTCTCCCCCTATTTAAACTTCACACTATCCCCCATATTTCCCCAAGCAAACAATTTTCTCTTCTTTTGATCCAAACCCTAGAAATCCTTTTTCAAATTCTCCCCAAAAATGCCTTCAATACCCGAAGAGCCAATCCTAGCACCGAACCCAGATCGGTTCTGCATGTTTCCAATTCAGTATCCCGAAATTTGGGAAATGTACAAGAAAGCAGAGGCCTCGTTTTGGACGGCGGAAGAGGTCGATTTGTCCCAGGATATACAGCACTGGGAAAAATTGACCGAGGACGAGAAGCATTTCATTAAGCACGTTCTTGCCTTTTTCGCCGCCTCGGACGGCAT